TTCCCCCCCCCCCCCCCCCCCGTAAACGTCCGTTTATATGACGCGTCATTTGTTTCGGTTAAGGCAAAAACATTGTCAAGAGTGGCCCGCGTATTACCCGACGCTCTCGTTGTCGGTGCGCCCACCAGATTGTCGTCGAGTAACTCTTCGTCAACAGGGGGTCCCGCGGTCGGATAACATGACAACATGTCCGGTCCTTCGTTGTGTTTCCCGGGTACATGCGTCGTTGTAAAATTCAAATTACCTAGATGTAGCGCCCACCTAGTTAATTTTGAATTGTTGTTCTTCGCTCTGTGTAGCCAAGTCAACGCGGAATTATCTGTAAATAATTCGAACGGAGAATACTCTACACAGNGTCCTTTGCTCTGTGTAGCCAAGTCAACGCGGAATTATCTGTAAATAATTCGAACGGAGAGTACTCTAAGTACGGGCGAAATTTATCAGTCGCCCATATAATTGCTAAGCATTCTCGTTCTACAGCGGCGTAACGTTTCTGCGTTTCTGAAAGTTTCTTACTGGCGTAGGATATGATTCTTCTCTCTCCCGGTTCATCTCCGTGTTGAAAGAGTATTGCTCCCACGCCCATTTCACTCGCATCGGTTTGAAGGCAGAAAGTTTTCGCGTAGTCAGGAGGACTCAGTCGTGGGGACTCACACAGGGCCTTTTTTACCTGTTCAAAAGCCCTTTGATGGTCTTCCGTCCACAACCATTTCGTCCCCCTTTTTAGTAGATTTGTCAGCGGCGCTATTGTTTCGGCGTAGTTGTCGACGAATTGACAATACCAATTAAATATGCCGAGACATCTACGTAGGTCCCTGATATTCCGTGGGACCGCTAGGACGCGGATGGACTCGAGTTTTTCGGGCTGCTTGTCTATGCCCTCACCGTGTACAATATGGCCCAGAAAGGAGATTTCGGAAAAACCTATTTTACACTTTTTTGTGTGACATGTCAGCCCGTGTCGCTCTAATCGTTCTAGAACTTTGCCTAAATGTTCTAAATGATTTTCTAAACTACTTGAATAAATGATTATGTCGTCCAAGTAAACTTGGACAAAATCATCTAGATATCCTCTAAGTACTTCATTCATAAGTCTTACGAAAGTCATAGGCGAATTTTTGAGTCCAAACGGTAATACACGAAATTGAAACAAGCCCCTTCTTGTTCTAAATGCCGTAAACTTACGGGCTTTTTGATTTAAAGAGCATTGCCAATAACCCGACTTTAAGTCGAGAGTCGTGTACATTATTGCCCCTCTCATGTTCCTAACCATGTCGTTTAGATTAGGCATGGGGTACGCGTCCGAAACGGTTACTTCGTTTAGTCGTCGGTAATCTATACATAAACGAAAAGTCCCGTCCTTCTTCTTGGCCAGCACTATCGGTGCTGACCACGGCGATACACTCGGTTCTATTAGCCCCTGCGCCTCCATGTCGTTTACCATATCGTCAATAACCTCCTGCTTGTGCAGAGGGTAGGGGTACGGTTTTAGTGCGATAGGAGTCGGGTCTTTCAATAGAATATCGTGCTCGATTAATTTTGTGCGACCCACCGTGTCATTAAAGACCGCTGCGTAATTACATATCGTCTATGTTAATAACGCGCGAGTTCGTGAGTCGCCGGTTATATCTAACTGCGTCAGATCTGGTTTGCGGATCGTGTGTCGTGCGCCCGATTTCCAACAAGCGGTTGTACGTTTCCTATTGCCTAAGTGTATTGTTCCTGCTGAGTAGTCCCAGGCGACTTTCTGATCAATCAGAAAATCATGGCCAAGTAACACGTCGCAATATAGGTCGTCTAAAATAACCGCTGAAAAACGCACTTCTAAATCCGCGATTTTGGCGGTAAACGTGGCGGTACCGTTCGTCGTGGCGGTATGTCCGTCCGCTAGTCTAACCGCGTCAGTGTGTCCTTTATAAACAGTTCCGTATTTATAAGCAATTACCGGTTTTACATACGATTTATGCGCCTGTGAGTCGAGTAGGGCTGTGACGAAGCCAGTTTCGAATTCTAACTCGACTGCTGGAGTAGTAATTCTACGCGGGCATTTTCGTTGGCCATTACTCAGGTGGTTTACGGTTCGAACGGGGGGCAGCTGGTTCTTAACCGCGACGTCGGTTTGCCCACC